CTCTGGTTTTTACACCAGAGTCAATGGAGTACCTTTTTTGCACTTATTTCTGACGATTTGCTCGCATGTATTAGACCCTTATGCCTACCCTTCCTCCTCGGATATACCATTTAGGCAAGATAGATCGCGTTCGATACGATACTAATTTCTACTAAGATGCATAATTATTTACCATTAAATAGCATATATTTTCCCACCTTAAATTCGCTATCTTCACTTTGTTAGCACTTGGTCTAGCGCACACTCTCAGAATGTTTATGTTTCCCCGGCCATTTCTACTAGATAGGCTTCCTCTTTGGATCATGCCGGATGGCGAGGCATGTGATGTGACCTAAATGGTGTTTGCATTTGCTTTCATATCATTTCGTATCGTTATAATATTATTTATTTTCCCGTGCTCAACCTTCCATCAATTTAGCCGACCCTGACCTACTGTCTGCACCACATCAGATGAGTCTGCAAAAGCCTAACATTACGGGCATCGGCCGATCAAGCTATGGGTCAGATCGGCAATGGTACCGACTGAGAGGCTGGTTTATTGCTGTGAACGCCTTCAGCATCGCCTGTCGATGCGGCAAATCGTCCCGAGGCGCGGCTCCACACGCCCATCTCAGCGACGGCTGCATCGACCTGGTTCTGGTGCACGCCTGTTCTCGCTTCGACTTTCTTCATTTCCTTCTCATGATGAGTAGAAGCGCTGGTCCTACTACTCTGATTGCTGGTACTGAGACAGACGTTGAAGACGAGTCGGTTGAGACCAGTCGGTAGATGTGAAATTAAGCAGTGCTGATCTTTATTCTAGAAGTTACTTATATTTAGGCGATAATATTCACTTTTTCATCTCTTCCCTCACTCGAAGCATCTTCTCTAAGAACTGTCGTAACTTTGAAACAATCTAATATCCACCAGGCTTTGAGTTCAAACCTACTTTTTGGCCCTTCTGAGCTTATGGAGTCTGTAGATATGGTAGCCATTTATTAGGCTCATGCGTAAGGCTAAAACTCCTTGGCTTTCTGACAAATCAATTTCCGGGATAAATATGCTGAACTCACTTGATCTGAAAATTTATACTGGGTCATAATAAATAAGAGCCCGAGTCACTTTTTTTTGCTTACTTTGATTCAAAAACCAATGGTTGAAGTTCCCATAATTAAATAGGCTAAAAGCCCTTCAAGAAGATTTTTCCAATTGAGTGGTCTACTGTTCTTAATCTCGCTGATAAAACTCACAAATGGTCGTAACTGCCGTCTGCCCGAATGAGAAAACCTGCTAAGAGGCAATACTAAA